GTCCAACATTTGGTGTGGTCCTCAACCAGAAACAAATCGACAGATTCTTTAAAGTTCCCCAGTCTGATATACAGATATATACATCCAGTGAACTTAACTTTAAAAGAGCTGATTGTAATAAACACAGAGACAGTTTGGGAAAGATTCCATGGATAAAAATCTTAAAGGAGAAAACAATTCAAGAAGCTTGGGAAACTCTGAAAAAATAATAATAATAAAAGCCCAGTCCAGCACAATACCACTGACAAAGAAAAACAAGAAATCCAAAAAGAAACAGCGTGGGTGCACAATGATCTCTCTGATAAACTGAAAGACAAAAATGATAAGTACAATAAATGGGAAGAGGGACACATAATTAAGGTAGAGTACCAAAAAGTAATCCTGACTTGCAAAGATGAAGTCAAGAAAGCTAAGGCTCAGTATGAAGTAGACTTGCAACAAATACCAAAAACAATAAAAAAGTTTCAACACACAAGAAACAAAAAAGTCAAGGAAACAATTAGTCCACTAATGAGAGAAGATGGCAAGGAAGTAAAGGCAGTAGAGAGAAAACAGAGCTACTTAGCTCATTCTTTGCATCAGTCTTCACGTAAAAAGAAAATATAGCCCAACCTACCAAAAACAGAACCATAAAAGAGATCAGAAATAAAATGAAAATAAACAAGAAAATGATAAGAGGGCACCTGTCTGATCAAGATGATTTCAAATCACTGGGATCTGACTGATTATATCCCAGGGTTCTGAAAGAACTGGCAAATGAGATCTCATTTGAACCATATTTTTCAAGGATTCTGGAGGATCAGGGAACTATCTGAGGCCTGGAAAACAGCTGATGTGTTCCCATCTTCCCAAAAAAAAAAAAAAAAAAAAAAGTGGGGGGAAACAGCCTGACATCAATATCTGGGAAGATCCTGGAAAAGATAATCAAAAAACAGATCTGCAAACACCTAGAAGCAAGTAAATTTATAACTAGAAGCCAACACAAGTTTGTCACAAACATGCCAAACATCTTATTTCATTCTTTGACAAAGTGACTACATTAGTGGATCAGCAAAATGTTGTGGACATACTATACTTCGATTTCAGTAAGACATTTAACCTACTTCTTGGTACAGAATGGGACATTTAGGCAGTCATCCTTAGCCGTGCCCACATTGCTCAAACTGCCAAACAACACTGCCACTGCCAAACCACAGAGGGCTTTCCCCTGGCCCACTGCCAGCAATGATCCACTACCAATGACCCCCAGACCCTTCACCTCCAGCCTGTGTCCCAGCCAATTCCCCAAGGCATAATTTAACCGTAGCATTTTGCTACATTGGACAAATAGTCACCATCAAATCAGGGGGCAGACAGCAGCAATATTGCCATGGGGGCAGTGCACAATTGACAGAGGGCAGGGCAATCACAGGGGCTGTGGGTGTGTGATGCAATGGGTGGCAGGCTGGGGTGGGAGAGCAAGATTAATATCGGTTATGGAGGGGGAGGGAAAGATAGGCGATGGCACCCGACTCCTGGCAGTGGAGGAGAATCCTGGAGACTGGGATAAAGTGCAAACTCCAAAGCAAAAAGGCACTATCCTAAAGCTGTCTGGAAGTGCAAAACCACAAATCTGTCTGCCAAAACCCCCCAAAATTCATTTTTTCTCTCAGTCCTTTCTAATGCACATACATGCATAAATGGGAAGCTCCCACCTACCGCTGCATCCCCCCTGCCCACTCCACCCAGTGCTAAAGCCAAACTATCCACTTGGAGCAAACTCTGGCCTAAATGTGGGTGGGAGCTTCCCATTTTGGCATCCTCTGCCATTGCCTCTCTGTTTTGGCTCCGGCCCAAATGGACAGTTCTGTGGCAGTGTGCAGAGATTCCAATTTTGTGGAGTGGCTTTAAAAAAAAAAAAACTTGAGTGCTTAAAAAAACCTTGTAGAGCAACCGCGGCTTCCTGAACTGACACCCCAACCCCCACCCTTGCCGCCCACCCCATTCCACAAAATGGGCAGCCTTATCCACCGTTCCTTTATTTATGCATATACGTGCATTGGAAAGTATTGAGAAATAATGAATTATGTGGGCTTTTGGCAGACAGATTTGTGTTCTTGCCCTTCCAGACAGCTTTATAGTAGTGCCTTTTTGCCTTGGAGTTTGCACTTTATGCTTTATTCCAGTCCCCAGGATTCCCCTCCTCCGCCACCAGTCGAGTTCCACCACCTATCTTGCTCTCCCCCTCCACAGCTGATCCTGATCCTACTATCCCACCTCAGCCTGCCACCCATTGCATCACACACCGTCCCCCCCAACCCCTGCGATTGCCCTGCCCTCCACCAAATGTGCTCTACCCCCACAGCAAATCATTGCTGTCTGCCACCCGATTTGATGGTGGCTATTTGTCTGAGGCAGCAAAAAGCCTGGGTCAAACTGTGTCTTGGGGAATTGGCTGGGATGCATGGCTGGAGGTGGAGGGTCAGGGCGTCATTGGCAGTGGACCATTGCTGGCAGTGGGCTAGGGCAAGAGGAAAGCCTGCTGGGATTTGGCAATGGCGGTTGGCTGGGAGCAAAGTGGGCATGGCCAAGGATTGCTGCCTAAATGTCCCATTCTGTACCAAGAAGTAGGCTGTGGTCTACTTTGTCAAATGTCTTACTGAAATCAAAGTACGTTATGCCCACAAAATTTTGCTGGCCCACTAATTTAGTCACTTTGTCAAAGAATGAAATAAGATGTTTGGCATGTTTCTGACAAACTTGTGTTGGCTTCTGGTTTACTTGCTTCTAGGTGCTTGCAGATCTGTTTTTTGATGATCTTTTTCAGGATCTTCCCAGACATTGATGTCAGGCTGTTTCCCCCCACTTTTTTTTTTTTTTTTTTAAGATGGGAACTACTTCAGCTGTTTTACAGGCTGCAGATAGTTCCCTGGTCCTCCAGGATCTTTGAAAAATACAGTTCAAAGTTTCTGAGATCTCAGCTGCCAGCTTCTTCAGAATCCTGGGATATAACCTGCCAGATCCCAGTGATTTGAACTCATCTAGATCAGACAGGTGTCTTCTTACCATTTTCTTGCTTAATTTTTATTTCTTGTCTCTTTTATGGTTATGTTTTTGGTAGGTTGGGCTATTTTCTTTTTACGTGAAGACTGATGCAAAGAATGACCTAGGGTTAGGGTTGCAAGTCTACTTCATTCTGAAAGCCTTAGCTTTCTTGACTTCATCTTTGCAGGTCAGGATTACTTGTTGGTACTCAACCTTAATTATGTGTCCCTCTTCCCATTTATTGTACTTATCATTTTCTTCTTTCAGTTTATCAGAGAAATCTTTGTGTACCCACACTGTTTCTTCTTGAATTTCTCATTTTTCTTTTTCAGTGGTATTGTGCTGGACTGGGCTTTTATTATTATTTTTTCAGTTTCCCATGCTTCTTGAGTTGTTTTCACTTTTAAGATTTTCATCCATGGAATCTTTCCCAAACTGTCTCTGTGTTTGTTACAATCAGCTCTTTTAAAATTAAGTTCACTGGATATATATATATATCTGTATATCAGACTGGGGAACTTTAAAGGATCTGTCAATTTGTTTCTGGCTGAGGACCACACCGAATGTTGGACACTATAGTTTTATACCAAAAGAGGAAAACACCTATTTGCATTTTTTACTTTTGATAATAAACTTCATTATCATTTGCCTCCTTTCCTTTATTAATATCACCCCCACAAAAAAAAAAAAATGTAGCAAGCTGAAGAATGGATCTTGGGAAAAATAGATCACCTTGGGGGAAAAACTTGCAATTGAGTTTGCAGCACAAATGTAATGGATATCTTTTATGTTTATCAATGTGATGTTATCCTTCCCTTCTGTGGTATTCCATTATATTCTTCTCCTTTTTCCAGTGTTATTTTTTCTTAGATATTGCATGTTAACATAAGTATATAATATTTGTGATAAGAATATGTGCTCATGCAAGTGATCAGCACCAATAGCAGTATGGAGCACATAGGAAGATTTTTCCAATATTGCAAGAAAAGGAGTCTAGAGATTTCTGAGCACATCATGTCTCAAAATTATTTCATAGCATCATCTTATTTCAGAACTGTTATATTTATTCAGTGAAACCTTAGTACTCTGTACTTTTCTTTGTCCATCAAAGACCCACCTAGGCGAAGGTGGAAAGATCAACACATGACAATATAGAATTATTTTATACTGACTTTCTTAAACAAAGAAATTTAAACGAAATGGTACAAATGACAGTGAAATGCCTTAATATAGGCCAAAGCAAAATCCAACTGCAGGAGTTACAGCCCAAAACTCAGAAACACATGAGTTCACACATTCAGGGATATAAGAATAAAACTTTTGGGGAAGTAGCTGTAAACTTGGTACCAAATATATACATACTGAATAACATTTAAAAAGACCGCTCCCTATATCTGAATCTTTCTGGCTTACACACATACAGTACATAGAGATAATTAGCAGAGCACTATCCCACCACACACATTCACTTTCACTGTGTAAAGGCAGGTTACTATTACTATCCCAATTAGTTGCATAACCACATCCCAAGTCATCCAGATTCTTCAGATCAGGATATCTTGCTATACTGGACAAATAAGCATATTTATGGACTCTAGAATTTGCAAGTAGCTTGCCAATAGTAAATTTCCAAGATATTAAATAGCCTGGATAGTTAACATATTCAGGTTAAGAACACTATCAGTTGTGTGAAAACATATCAAATATTTTAAATATTACATCCATATGAATAGCCTGCAAACTTCATTTGCTTGGTGATGATAGCAAGTGCAGAATAACAATTATTTAAAGAATGAAGTACCAAGCTAAGTCATAAACATTTGATAAGAACAGCTTAGGCAAAGTGCTGACCTTCAAGTATAAGGTTCTGGCTTTACAAATTCTTCACCATACCTTTAACTATTTTACCAAAAGATAACAAAACCAATACTTTGACCAAATCGGGAGAAGAAAAACCTATCAATCACAGTGTTTGGTGCATTATAGTATTTAATTCAGAACATTTCTTCCATTTTCTCCCCTTTGACCACAATGCATTCTTCAACATATACAAAGATGCCATTTATAAACATATATGTCTATATGCAGCCATGAAGGAACTGAACATTATTGCTTAGATGAGTGGGATTCCAGCAAGGAATCAAGTGTGCTACACTTTCTGTACAATGGAGATTTCAAATGTATGTTGAATGTTTTTGTGACCAGTCTCACACAGCCTAAGGAAAATATATTGACAGGGCATTGCTTGTTTTAGATGTATAGTCAGTTGTTGTTGTGACAATTGGCCAATGAAGAAAAAATAAATAAACTAAACACCCCCCCACACATTGGTAGCTCAGGAGATCCACTGGGCAAGTAAACACATCTTTTGGTTTGAACTCCAAAAATCAGTATATTAACAAGAGAAACATCTTTTCTCACAATGCAATTCTGATTATATTTCTTTCCCTTCACATCTTCTATATCTCACCTTGCTTCTTGCTGCAGTTTATTCTGGAGAACACTTTATCAGATCATCTCTGCATTACCCCATTCATTAGGATTATTAATCAAGTAGGGTCAGTAGTATCTGGCCACATGTTCTTCCTTCTCCCATTTTCCATTTTTCTAATCGATTTTATAGCCCCCACCAGGGATATTTTCAATGATGTTATTTACTAAGTAATTGTATCATTTTTCACTAGAAAAGAAATAAAACGCCATGTGCTTCAATATGTTCCAGTTAACGCCAACATTCTGAATAAAACCTTTAAAGGAGAATAAAGGGGAAACCAATGAAGAAATTACATCTGCTACATGAATTAGTGCAGTAGGAAACCTAAACCTTCCAGCTGGAAGATGTCATATTATGTCCTATGTACTTTCCTCCTGACACTCTTGACATGAGGATCATAAGATTATGGATCTAATTTTTTAATCCTGACAACCAAGCAAAACTCCTCAGGAATGCTGCTGTGCATGCTATAAAATTTGCATGTTTATTGAGACAGTGGCTAAACACTCAGCAAGTGCTTGGTTAGCTTGAGATAACCCCAAATTAATGCACAAAAAGTGGAAAAGGTCTATCCAACACTAATTCAAAAATAGTGCAAACGTAACTATGCATAATAAAACAAGAATGGGAAATTCATCTTCCAAATAGATTTTCCTACTGTTGGTCTCTATCTAAACATTATTTATTTTGGAAAATTGGTACAGCTGATACTCTTGTTGCTTATATCATCTATTTTCATGGTCCTGACCCAGAAAAGGTAATATAAATGAGTCTGTGTACTTGGTGGAAGATTTATTATGCCATACTTTAACACATATTGTCCAACAAATATTAAGTGCTTCTTTTTCCTCTACAGCTTCCACTTGGTGACACTGATATTTAAATACATTCTAATCTTTATATTAGCTTTGCAAGCAATAAATTTCCCAAGGTAGAGTCTGACTCATACATGCTTTTACATTATTTGATTTCATTATGCTTAATTTTTGGCAACTGAATGCCTAAGCACATTTGCTGAAAGCATTTCTAATGATATAAAGTTCCTGATTATGGAATCTGGATATTATATTTGCAAGTCATTGCTTAGTGTTGCAGAAATTCTATGATATAGATGTGAATCAAGCCAATATAGTGATGCCTTTATGATATGGAAATACTTGGAACAATACTCTGATCTCAAGTAAAAAAGAATTACTGACTGATTTTTGAGACGGAATTGAGTAGCTTGCTAACAACTTCTCCCGTGAGAAGATGGATTTGACTGCTAAGGAGCTAATTGATGAAAAAGAAACTGCGGTGGAGTTTCTATCTAGTGCATGACTAAATGATCATCAGAATGTGAGAGATGGTTTAAATATGGAGGAGTTTAAAAGTCATCTCTAAATGCACCACCAGATTCTACCCCTGAATCAGTGTTTCTTCCTTGTGGCAATTTCTTCATTACATGATTTATTTATTTTTTGGTCCCTATTGCTGAGTAATAACATAGTTTCAGATAGTTTGCACACTTGACCAAATCTTCCTGAATCATCATTTGTTTCCTTGTTGCATTGTGCATATGCCTATATTTTGCACTTGTGATAGCAAACAGGATTTGTTTGTTGTAACAGCAGTCTTTCACCATAGATTATGGCAAAACCATGTATAGTGCGAGGATGACTTTTATGATATGGTTTTAGCCAGGGGTTAAATCTACTTACCTTCCCAACCGGTTCGGAAGTGCACTTGCTGCGCGTCATGTGTGTGCGTGGACCCTCTGCGCGTGCGCAAATCCTTCTGCGCATGCGCAGAGGGTAAAAAAAATTACTTTCTGGTTAGAACCAGGAAGTAATGATGACCGGGCGGAGCCTTGTACCGCTATCGCTACCGGTTCTCTGAACCACTGGCGGCCATCGCTACCAGTTCAACCAAACCGGTCCAAACCGGGAGCATTTCACCCCTGGTTTTAGCATTAGGTTAATAAAAGTACTCACTAATAGTCTTTATGTAAGAAAACAAGAAAATGTTTTTCTACTCTCAAAAAACAAAATAGAAAACATTTATTGAGTATCATGAATGTGCTGTTGTATTGATCATCACCAAATCACCAAGTCTTATTTTGGAAATACCTGATGAATTAAGCACTTAACTGTATATTTTGTATACTGTTTGGACAACTTGAAGTATAAATAAAGAAAATATATTTCTGGAGTTTTGGGGGAGCAAAGAAATACCTATTGCTAACCTACTAACATAACCTACTAATAGGCTAGAGTCACAGTGTAAGACCTAGGAAAGAACTCTGTTTCCCTGGTTTGATTATGCAATATAAGAAAATAAGTGCTTAACCTAGGTAAATGAGCCATGCATGTAGATCATGTCTGAATGTATTTAGTAGTGTACTGGATCTGTTATACATACTATTGGTTAAATGGTGATCAATGGTCTATCTCACAGAAGTATTTCATGTGAACCATCTTTCTCAGGCCAATATCTCATATGTGGTCTGTTATATATTCCAGCTGGGCCCTAGAAACCATAGGATTTAACAAGGCATCTCTTCTTAACCAGCAAATCAAGTGAGAAAAATGCTAGTTCAGTCATACTAGGGATGTCTATGCAAATATCATATTAAATAATTCTTTTCAAATCATAGACTTTCTTTTTTCTTCTTCTTCTTCTTTTCTTTCTTTTCTTTTCTTCTTTACAAAAATATATCTGCAAATCACATAGCTGAAAGCATGCTGGGAAACAAGGAAATCTGGAGTAACCCGGATCTTTGAACTCCTATGAGCAAAGCAGTAATATTCTCTGTTTAGTTCAGAAAAGCGTCTGGCTAAGGAAGGTCCCTGAGAAATTATCAATGCTGCTATCAGTTATATGGTGAGTCAGCCACTACACACTGAGGAGCAAACATAGTTGTATGATTTCCCCAGGACCCAGGAAAGGGCACAACAGAATTGCAAACCACTTCGCCTCCTAAAAATTAAGCAGAAGAGGTTCCAAAGTAAGACTCCTCATTACGTGACCAATAAAAGGCTGTATATAATTGCCTGGCCACATCATCTTTTTGAAGACGGTGATACTAATTGTGAGCAAACAGTCACACAAATACAAAGAAAGAAAACTAACACAGAAACCAACACACCATATGGTCTTCTTAGTCAGAGAAGGGCTTTGCATTTCCATGGGTAGCTTGCATGCAACACAGCATTGTTGGGGAATTTCTGAAATTGGGAGGGGGTCGAGAGCCTTACACTAAGATAGGTCCCTCCCAATAAGTTAAGGCTGGTTAATTATTAACTGGCATCTATTGTCCAAATAGGGGTCCAAAGACAAGAAGACAGGGTGTGAATTACAGTAGAGGCAATCTCCCTCACATTCACAACACAGTGAGCTCTTCACCAAAGACCTTTACAAAGACTGCAGTGAATGTGATGAGAAACTAAGTCAAACAGGAGTGAATTTCCAGCCCCACATGGATAAAGATACACAGCAAGTGGTGCTCCCAATTCCCCCTCAAGCTTTCTTTTACCCCTTCCACAAAAGCTGCTTGCAAGATCCAGTGGGAAGATTCTGTGAAACAGTGATTACCCAGGTGCTCCGATATGGGGTGGCCTAGAGGAACACAAGGCAGCTTCGCTCCCCTTGTAGGCATCCTCTTTTTATTGTATACTTCTCTCATTTTGCTCTTCATCTTTCATCTTCAAATTTCTGTCAGAGTATCAGCAGGCACCAGCCCACGTTTTTTGCCACTTGTCACCTTGATGAAACCTTCACTCTCTTTGGTCTTTCCCACACCAACACAGATCTAGGAGAATCAGAAGAAGGGATGGGGAGAATCCTAAATGTTATCAAAAGACTCAGAAATGGTAAATGTACACGTATTATGAACTCCACAATGTGACATTTGAAGTATGTAATTGGAGTAATAAATATTACTTACTGCCTTGTTTGTGTGTTTTGGAGGCATTTTAAAAAATGAAGTTTGGATTTTGGCTCAGTGTTATTCAGTCACTTCTGATTCTAATTTATTGTCAGATAGCTTTTGAATTCTGTCTCAAAATATTTGATAGTAGTAGTATTCCAAAACCCATGCTTCTCATGGGCATTTTAAAAATCATAAACAAAAGGTTCTTTTCAGCAACAATATTCTTGTTCTGGCCAAGAGGTTGCACTTTTTAAAGTTAAACCATAAAGGTTACAACCTTCATAGTAAAAATATCCAGAGGACTTTGGTGGCTTGTACAACTCATCGTACAAGCCATATCATGTCTCACCAATTATCCAAAATTTCAAGTGGCAGATAAAGAGCGGTATATACAACATATATAAATACAACCAAAATCTTTCTTTCCTGATCAGTGCCTATAATAACTGAGAGACTGTTCAAGAAAGAGAAAGAGAAATAGCATACATGACATATGTAAACCTCATACCATAGCAATGTATGTATGGAAAAAATAAAATTAAATTAAGAGATTGGTTCCAAAACAAAGGAGGGAAATGAATTGGATACTCTTTTATATACCAGCCCCACTGCTGTAATAAAGAGAAGAGACTGGATCCCCTAATTCTGGATTAAATTTTATGAGATACTACAGTGCCTCTTATATGAAGTTTAAACTTAACTTTTGTTTAGATTTATGCTGTTAACGCTCCTAGTTAGTTATAAGGTTTTCCAACCCTTTGTGGAGGCATCCACATAATAGAGAACAAAACTCTAATACCAAGAAAATTCATTAATGGGTGAGAGTCCACCTCACAACAAGATACATTTCTAGATATATTTCTGTATTACTCATATAATAATAACAATAACAACAACAACAATAATTCTTAGGAAGGTACTTGGTTGATACCTAGGACGCTGACAGCAACGCATATCAACCATTAGCACCAGTCAATGATATTTGTGATGCATTTTTGAATGTTCAGTTGACTGAGTTTCATATTTAATGAATAAAGATAATAATAATAATAATAATAATAATAATAATAATAATAATAATAATAATTGAAGCATTTTCAGTGGAAACTCCAAAAGGAACTGCCCTAAGCAACTATCTTTGTGTTTCTTAACATTAGAATTAGTCCTGTGCTCCAATATTTTTCACCTTGGCTCGCCTCTCCTCCTTTCCACTATCTATCCTTAGCTTGGCATCCAAACTGCCTTAAGCTCCTTTCTTCCATTATTTGTAGCAGCCAGCCCTTCCTTACTGCCTCAGCATAACTTTATTTGCTTGAGATTTATTAAAATGGACCAAAGAATTCAGATTGGCTGAAATCCTACACACTGAGAGTGGATGCAGGCGCATCAGGCTGGCAGAACAACATGGTTACAAGGAGATGCTGAGTTTGTTTTGAATGTTCAAGAGGGAAGGACTTTGGAATGTCCAAATGGAAAATTCACTGGCTGCAAAGTTAATCCCAGGGCTTCCTATTAAAATCACTAGAGGAGGAGACTAAAGACAAAGTGCTTTATATAGCGCACCTCCAATATTATTAAATTCTGTATGGGAATATATTCTTCCATCCTTCTCCATCTGCTGCTTTTCCTAACCTGTTATAAAGCTATCATGACCACCAGGAATCTGAGTCTTCCTGTCCTGACTCAACTGAAGGACAAAAGCTAGAACATCTCTTTTGTACAAGGAGATAATTTCATTCTGCTGAATTATAGTCCATCTGAATTACAATCCATCTGAAAGTGTCAAAGAAGCATTGCTACTGAATTACACAGTGATTCAATGAAAAGTTGTGACTCATCAAAATGTCTCCAATGCCTTAGTTCCAAGATTTTACACAATATACAAACAAGGTGGCCGTCAGCTGCAGTTCAGCTTATGTGCAATAATACTGCACATAATTGTATAAAACCTTCATGTCCAATTCATCACCATAATGTGAAGCACAGATATTTGCTCCTAAATATAGAACTTTGAGAATTGGTAGTTCTGACATATTATTATGTAATTAGGAGATAACTAGTTTAAATGTTAAATTACACTGACAACAATGGTACATATTATCAAGACTATGGCTTTCCAGTTGTGACATACGGTTGTGAAAGCTGGATCATCAGAAATGTTTAACCTGGACCACAAGAAGAACAATACTTGATGAAGTAAAATTAAGACTATTCAGTGCAAGCACAAATAAGAATGCTAAAGTTTAAATATTTTGGATACCAGTTGTGAAGGGTGAGTCACTATACAAGCCTCTAATTCTTGGAATAATAAAAGATAATTCCAAGAGTCTGACAGAAGACAAAATTACTAGATACTATCAACAGATAAAACAAGCAAAAGCTTACAAGAAAATAAAGAAGCAAAAGATAAAGTTTATCCTAGCAAAATGATGTCCATCAGATTACAAAGACTGAAGAAAAATATAGTTCTTTTTAGGATCTTTTTAGGATTCAACAGGCAATACCAGGAAAACAAGTTAGAATTGAAAACAAACCAATCAAGCTTCTCTTCCACCCACCCTGTTTAAAAACACATGGACTTGTCCCTAAATTTCCTAGGAATCATGTTTGACTCCTTTTATTTTATATTACCTTTTACTTCAAGGGTAAGAAACCTTTTTCCCATAAGGGCTACAGAAAAGCTATGAATGGGACCAAAGCTGCATTTTAATTCTCCTTGGATGACCCCATTTTATTTTCACTTCTTCAAACTCAGGCAAGTGCCAGCTGAGAGGCAGGGCATATCTTTCCAAACTTGAACTGACTGGTCACAGATGGACTTTGTGAAAAAGAGGCTAGAGGGCCTTACTTGACCACGTCTATATTTGGGGGCATACATGCCTACCTGGTTTTCTTTAAGGCTCAGCTGTCCCTGTTCTTTGTTGCCACAGAAAGTCCTAAAGCATCTCCAGACAGTTTCACCTGGGCGAACTCGCTGGACAAAATTGGCTGGGAAAAAGCCAATGCGGTCTCCCATCTTCCCCTAGATTGCAAAACAAAAATGTCACCACTATAGCACAAGTCTATGACAGTATTTGTGTTTTACTTTTATAACTTGCTCATCAGCAGGCATAGAAACTTGGCCTTTTAAATTAAAAATTATAAACTGAGATCTGTAATTCTCTGGATTTTAAATAACAGCCATAGCAAGCAAAATTGACCCTAGAGAATTGTTCTGCTTTATGGTAAATACATGCATAGTCATATATTTGCTGGTTTTTTTCAAGTCAATAAAGAAAAGTATTGATTTCATCAGATTTCTACTGGATTTTTCACAATGTATAATACAATATATTTTTTTTGTAATAGGTTTATTGTTTTGAAATTTTTATTGCATGTTATAGTTGGAAAGCACCTGTGAGGAGGGTTTTTATAAAGGCAAAGTAGAAATTTCTCTATTCAGAAATAAATATCTGAATCAAGTAAAACATTTGCCATTATACTTGCTTTTACACAAAAAGGGCTGGGGAACATCCTTACTATTTGGTGAAGGTGACTCTTTAAAATACTGTTTTAAAGTTTCATCACCTTTCTCAAAATCAGTTATCCCCAGCCTGTACTTTCCTAATTTGTTGGTACTGCATCTCCCAGAAGATCCAAACAGTATCGCCTTTGTGAATTTTGGTCCCAACATAGAGCATTTTTAGAGTGATTGGTTGGAAACTTGGCTGTATATCAGGGACTTCCAAAATTTTTCAGGACAACATTCTGCGTTCTTTGATTGCTAAGCAGATGGCCATGGGCAGGATGATAGGAGTAGTATCAAGGAACAAATAATCTGACTAGAGTCCAGTGTGGTTTCTTAGTTTTGTCTTTGCCATTCAAAGAACTACTCAATGATTCATTTTGGAATGTTAAAAAAATATGATTTCAATAACTTAGTTTGAGAAGGATTTCATGGATGAGAATCCTCAGGGGGAAAACAATCCAAGAGGCCTGGGAAACTTTGAAAAGTGAGATTATAAAAGCCCAGTCTAGCACAATTCCAATGAAGAAGAAAAATAAGAGATCTTAAAAGAAACCAGCATGCTACACAAAGAACTCTCTGATAAACTGAATGGCAAAAAGGACAAAATATTTTAAAAAGTGAAAAAATGGGCACATAACTAAGGCAGAATATCAGCAAATAGCCAAACCTGCAAAGATGAAGTCAGGAAAGCTAAAGCTCAGAATGAATTAAGGCTTGTGACAAAAGTCAAAAATAACAACAAAAAAAGCTTTTTTCATGTAAAAAATGAAAAAAAGTAAAGGAAACATTTGGTCCTTTAATGGGAGAAGATGGCAAGAAGATGACAAGAAGCAGGGAGAAAGCAGAATTTCTTAACTGAGTTTTTGCATCTGTCTTTACACAAAAGGGAAAAAACCAGTCCATCCTATAAAAAAATAATAATTGCAAAATGCAGATTAGGAATGTAAATCAAAATAAGCAAGAAAATGGTAAGAGAATTTCTATCCACTTGTGAAGAGTTCAAATCATTAGATACAGTTGGATTACACCTCAAGGTTCTGAAGTAATTGGCAGATGTGATCACAAAACCACTGAACCATATCTTTTAAAGATCCTGGAGCATTGGGGAACTAGAGGACTGGAAAAGGGCTGATATAGTTCCCATTTTCAAAAACAGGGAAAAAATGGATTCAGGAAAAAGACCTAACAATCTGACATCTATACCTGGAAAGATTCTGGAAAAGATAACAAAGCAATGAATCTGTGAACACCTAGAGCCAAGCAAAATCATAATCAGAAGCCAATGTGGGTTTATCAAAAACAGATCATGTCAGATAAATCTTATTGCATTTTTTGACAAAGAGCCAGAAATAGTGGACTGGCGATATGATTTACTTGAACTTCAGTAAAGGATTTGATAAAGTAGACCACAACCTGTTACTTGACAAGGTAGGAAAATGTGGGTCAGATCAAGGGACCCCAATGTCTGGACCAGTACCAGTCTGCGGCCTGTTGGGAACTGTGCAAGTGGAGGACAAGCATGCAAAGCTTCATTTGCACATGCACGGGAGCTAGGCTGCGCATGCAAAACCATCCCCTCCCGCCTGCAACCACTGCTGCTGCCAATCTGTGGACATAGAAACACTGGGGATCACTAGGTTAGACAGCATCACTATCAGATGGTTTGTAACTGGCTGATCAACCACACACAATGTGTAGTCTTTAATGGAACTTTTTCTACATGGAGGGAAGTACGTATGCAGTGGGATGCCTCAAGGCTCTGCCTCATCAAATTTGCAGATGACACCAAGCTAGCAGGAATAGCCAACAATCCAGAAGACAGGCTCAAGATACAGAAGGATCTTGACAGACTTTAACACTGGGCCCTATCTAACAAAATGAAATTCAATGGTGAAAAAAGTAAACTTTTACATTTAGGCAAGAAAAACCAAATGCACAGGTATAAAACAGGTGGTACCTGCGGTGAGATGGGTCTTCAAGTCCTAATGGACAATCGCTTAAATATAAGCCAGCAGTGTGCTGCAGCTGCCAAAAAAGCCAACGCAGTCCTAGGCTGCATTAACAGAGATACAGAATCAAGATCATGAGAAGGGTTAATATCTCTTTATAATGCCTCGGTAAGACCACACTTGGAATATTGCATCTAGTTGTGGTCGCCACAATATAAAAAAGATGTTGAGACTCTAGAAAAAGTGCAGAGAAGAGCCCCAAAGAGGATTAGGGGACTGAAGGTTAAAGCATATGAAGAATGGTTGAAGGAAATGGTTATGTTTAATGAAAACAAAGATTAGGGATGATATGACAACAGTGTTCCAAGGGGCTGTCACAAAGAAGACGGGGAGGGGCAACCAATTTTCCAAAGCACCTGAAGGTAGCACAAGAAGCAACGGATGGAAACTAATCAAGGAGAGAACTAGCCTAGAATTAAGGCAAAATTTCCTGACCGAATAATTAATCAGTGGAATGACTTGCCTCTAGACGTTGTGGCTACTCCAACACTGGAGGTTTTTAAGAAGAGATTGGACAACTATTTGTCTGAAATGGTTTAGAGCTTCCTGCTTGAGCAGGATGTTGGACTAGAAGACCTCCAAGGTCCCTTCCAACTCTGTTATTCTGTTATATACTGAAATAAATATATAAAAACCAGGGCACTATAGTATTCCTCCTGGCCTGCAAACCATATAGTATTTGTTTCAGTATTTTAGATAAGCATAGGTTATCTTGGGTTGAGGAAATGAGCACATAATTGTTTATAATTAAATTATCCAATTATAGTGATAGAATCTCCACTTTAGAATACCTAAGTATTGAGAACCTGGTCTTTTGTACCTGCAGACTTGCAGCTGGAATCTTTTATCTATCTACCTATCTATCTATCACATTTCTGAATCATCCATCTCCTCAAAGATGAAGCCTTTAATCACAATGGGCTACATATTTCCTCCCCCCTCGCCCATATCTTTAGGATCCTGTCCCTTACTACCAATCAGGAAACTTCTGAAGACAGAACTTTTCAGAAAGAGCAGAGGATGTCACCACTGTAGTGCAATGGTTAAGATGCTGGTCTAAGATAAGGGAGTCCCTGGTTCAAGTACATGGTAAGCCACAAAGCTCATTGGAGACTTTGGCCCAGTCCTTCTCTCTCAATTCAACCTAGCTCATGGAGTTGTTGTGGGGAAAACACAGGAGAGAAGGAGTGCTGAATAAGCTGCCTTGGGTTGCTCAATGAACAGGTTAAAAAAAATCAATTGATCGATCAATCAATCAATCAATCAATTGGTCAAACACATGTGGCGGCACTTGTTCATATAAGAAGTTGAGTTGCATATTTTATTTGCATATGGGAAATACAGTATATGTTCAGATCTCTGTGTTCTGCCATAATATTCTGCTCACCTTCCACCAATCTTCATTAGAATCATCTATCAGCATGATTCGATCTCCTGGCCTGCAGGGACAGACAAAGTCTAGTTTATCTCCAGCTGCCTTTTGGGTAGTGAGATGTAGGGAATGCCACAGTATAAAAATCACCGGGCAAAATAAATAGCCTACTAGAAGTACATGAGTCATTACTCGCAGGTCCCACCAGCAACCACAGCCTTAATCTTGAGTGGTAGCTCCTTTAAGCTCCGTCAGCAAGGTTTCACAGTACAAGGACTGACTACTTTTGGCACTGGATTCTCCCCAGTGCCAACAAGAACGAAGCCCTGAGTGCTCTTTATAGCACTATCAATAACTTGCAAACTATCCACCCGGAGGGGGTTTTCATTGTGGTAGGAGACTTCAATCATACTAACTTGAAAGCAGCCCTCTCTAATTTCCATCAATACATGGACTTTGCCACTAGGGATGGGAACATCCTGGACTCATCTTATTCTAACATTGAGAAAGCATTTAAGGCTGCCCCTCGCCCTCATCTTGGCTCCTCAGATCATCTCTCTGTGATGCTTATGCCAGCATACAAGCCTTTGTTAATCAGAGAGAGACCAATTAGAAATCAAGTGAGAGTGTGGCCAGCAGGAGCTATGGAAGCTCTACAAGATTGCTTTGAGTGCACTAATTGGAACATATTTAAAGAGCTGCAGTGAATGGACAACATACTGATGTGAATGAATACACTTCTACTGTGTCTGCTTATATGTGAAAGTGTATGGAGGATGTCAGTGTTCTTAACACTTTTGTCGTACGAGCAAATAAGAAACCTTGGATGTCACAGGAGGTCTGTGCGATGTTGAAAGTGAGAAACACCGCTTTCAAATCAGGTGATGTGGAGCACTTAGAATAGCAAGAGCTGATTTGAGACGTGCTATAAAAACAGCAAAGCAGGCCTGTAGTCAGAAACATTTTTCAAGATCCTATGGACCCGAGATGTATGTGTATCCGGGTCATTCCTGACTATAAGGCAGCTTCCCTGACATATAAGGAGGACATGGATTCTCTAAACAAGCTAAATGATTTTTTTTGGTTGGTTTGAGGCCACAAACAATGTTCCAGCAAGGAAGGCTGTTTCACTCTCCGATGAGCAGGCACTCAGGTCTGATACAACTCCTGTTTGGAAAATCCTGCGGAAAGTCAATACTCGGAAAGCTGCTGGTGCTCATAATATCCCTGGGCAAGTACTTAAGGAGTGTGCTGACCAGCTGGCCACTGTTCTCACAAACATCTTCAACCTCTCGTTGCATCAGGCCATGGTTCCATTATGTTTTAAGACTGCCATCACTGTACCAGTGCCCCAAAAGACTATCATAACATGTCCTAATGATTACCATCCTGTTGCCCTCACTTCCATTATGATGAACTGTTTTGAGAGATTGGTAAAGGACTATATGGTTTCATGCCTTCCCCCTACATTTGACTCATTACAGTTTGCCTGTCGGAAGATCCACTCTATAGATGAAGCACTTCCCTATGTGCTTCATCTTAGCTTGGCACATCTGGAGGGGAAGAACACTCATGTGCGAAGGCTGTTTATTGATTTTTGTTTGGCATTCAACACAATCATTCCTCAGCATTTGGTGAACAAACTGGGCCTATTAGGTTTTAATACTCCTTTATGTAACTGGATACTGGATTTCCTTATTGATAGGCCTCAGTTTGTGTGAGTTGGAAGAAAAGTCACCAACTCCATCTCCTTGAGTGCAGGTTCCCTACAGGGCTCTGTCTTGAGTCCGATACTGTTCACCTTGATGACCCACGACTGCTGTGCCAAATCTGCTACAAATCATATTGTGAAGTATGCGGATGACACGGCAGTGGTGGGTCTTATCTGGGACGACAATGAAGATGCATATAGGGGAGAGGTGATGGCTCTGGTGGACCGGTGCAATAAAAGTAACCTGGTTCTAAATGTTAATAAAACAAAGGAGATCATCGTAGATTTTAGGAAGAGTTGGCATGGTCATACTCCACTCAGTATCAAGGATGCAGCTGTAGAGGTGGTCAACAGTATTAAGTATCTGTGGGTGCAGATAAGTAACAATCCGAACTGGTCTCTCTACACATCATCCTTAATGAAGCATGCAAATCAGCATCTGCATTTCCTGCATCGGTTGAGGGGAGCACATCTTTCTCCTTTTATCCTCGCCACTTTTTATTGAGACACGATTGGGAATGTTTTAACAAACTGCATCACTGTTTGGTTTGGTGGCAGCAGTGCCTCAGATAGAAAGTCCATTCAGAGACTGGTAAGGACAGCCGAGAAGATTATAGGAAACTCGCTTATTGTCATTCAGGATACTGCTTATAAGAGCTATGTGCTTAGAGCTCAAAGCATTGTTAGAGACCCTACACACCCACTTTACGGTCTGTTTCTGCTGCTCCACTCTGGGAGGAGGTTTTGAAGTATTTCTAGCAGGACTACTAGATTCTGTAACAGCTTTGTTCCCTATGATATCTATCTGGTAAACTCGCAAGATTTGTTTCTTTCGCAATGTACATGTATACATCCAAACTAGACTGCGTTGTTTCTCCATGTCATATAGTATATGTGGATATATGCATAATTTTGTGTTTGTTTGTTTGTTCATTCATTCATTCATGTTTATGTAGTGTATATTAGAGGTGGAGACCCTTTGAAAGCTGTATGCAACAAAATTTCATTTGAATGTATGCCAATTAGTGTACATTCAAAGTGACGATAAAAAGTTATTCTAAGTCTACTTTATGCCTATCTCATGCTATAGATTTCTAGATTGGCTGTCTGAGAATAAGGGCATACTTACTTCAGTGGCAGATCATTGTTCTCCTGAGGCAGAAACTTGTACAGAGCAACGTAAGAATACATGGGTGAGACCTCTTTGCGTGTAGAGCCTTGAGATGGCTATTGGAAAAAGAAATAACAAGAAGAAACATTGCAGTCTTGAGACACATGGTGTAATCTTTAGGGATCTAGTCTGAAGTAAACAGAAAAATACCATTTGATTCAAAGTGTTCCTACATTTTACAGCTTTTGTAAAATGCTATTACAGGACAGACAGATAAAGATCTTATGAATACCAGAACTTGCTACTTTCCATGCTAGAGATGGTGAAGGTTTGTTGGAAAGAATTTGTGAAAGGGAAAGAGTGCAGTTGAGCGAAATGGGTCAGGAAAAGGGCAGAAGCCAGCACAAAAGTAAAGCTGTGTGAAAGAGTCACACACTCGGTTGACAAGGGCCTTCTCCAGCCTTCTATCCATCCTGAAATCGATTGTTTTGCTTGGCTGTATTTTTCACAACTTTCTTTGAAGAAAAAAAAATCAGAACATATGCCACTTGGTTTCTTTAAAAAGCAGAGCTCTGAACCTTTATAGAATCATGGGGGATGGCATTTGAGCCACTGAATTCAATATGAAAACACAGCTTAAAGCACTGATGACAAATATCTGACTCACACTATCCAAACATGTTTAGCAAATGTCCCTAAGAAATTGAACCCACTGCCGTCAAGAAGTGTTCTTAACTTTCAAACAAATCTGTCTTCCTGACAGAGAACAGGTTATGGCCTTCTTCTGGATAAAATCTCTCCAAATAATGCAGTCATAACCTTCTCAGTTTTCATTTCCCAACACTAAACACAATTCCCTTAATTGTGTCTAGCAGGAGTTCTTTTGCCAGTCATTCTCATTGTCCCTCACTACATTTTCTTTAAGAAATTCTACACACATATAAAATGTCTGTCTCCTTCATGACTCATTAAGGAAGTTTATTATAGTGGACCATCACTAAATAACTACACTTTGACAAGAAAGGATAGAGAATTTCTGGGTTGGAGTGCTAAATAATTATCCCACAAGAGAAAATAATTTAAAAATGGAAAGTTGTGGCATATTGTTCCACGCAACTCTACTTTTAAAGTTGAACTACTATACTAAATAATCGTTTTGGCTCTTGAATTTTAAAAAGCAATAAAAGCCAAATATAATTAAATAAAAATATAACATTATTGTGTGCAATTTTTCTCCTTCCCTGCCTTCCTTCCTTCTTCCCTCTTTCTCTAGAAAGAAAAATCTGAGGAAAGAGCTAGATCCTATTTTTTGGGGGGTAATCTCTGCTTTTTCTCAATCTTGAAATGAAATGGGTACATTTTCTACCTGTTGCCCTGAGTTCTTTTCTTCCAATACAGGGTTCTCTCCTTCTGTGGCCATTGAGAAAACTGAAATGAAAAGAAAAAAAACAACAACGGCAGAGAATATGAAGGCTTATCATTCCAGTATGCAACAAACCATATATTTTTTCTTTCCTTTTTCCCAGAGAAGGATGCACTCCAACATCAGAGATGACAAGAGATCTGGAAGTTCACTAACAAACAACACCCAGAAATCAGGGAAGCAGTCACTGACAGAAAATCTGGGCAAAATGATATTCTTCAGGTTGCAAAGACTAGGGGCTAACAAAACTGGATTTTTGCAGCCCCTTTTGATAGATCTAGTTTTGAGAGGAAATTTTAATTAAATGGTCTTTGCTGCAATTAGAGGAGTGTTTGTACAGGGGGATTTTTTTTAAAGATTCCAAAATAGCCTCAGCCTCACCTTTAGCAAAACACCGAGAATTGAAGGCGTTCAAAGTCATAAGCCTTAATCTCTGAGCCAGTCTTGCCTTCCACAGTATAATTTAGGACCAAAGGGGTGAATTTGCATTAGAACAATTTTTGGAAGAGAATGTTTTCTTTTTTGAGATTAACTGTATCATCTTACCAAAGAGTAAGCAAGGATGTAATCATTCAAAACAAAATATACAATATGTGAAAGAAGATAGAATCAGAAAGAGCAAGATTTCTTGCCTTCAGTACAGCCACTTGGATATCCCCACTGATTTCTGGGATGAATTTTACTTCCATCCCTGAACAGACCAAAAGAAGGGGATACATGCTTCCATGGAAATTCTTAATTACACAATAATTCTGTATAGAAATTACACATAGGAGGGAAAGGAAAACAAAGAGGAAGACCAGGGCCAAAGCTGAGCTTTTGTTCCAAAAATCTTTTCCACCTAATTTTGTGCACTTTGCAGAACTGGAAAGGGAAGGAGAGGGAGGAATGAGAGAGAGAGAGAGAGAAAGAAACAGAGCAAGAGAGACAAAGACAGAGAGAGAGAGACAAAGAGAGAAAGCGAGGGAGCAAGTGTGACTGCATTGATACAGGCTGAGCCATCCCTCTTATCGTGTATTACACGTATACACATGTATGTGGTTGGCTGAAGGTAAATTTTGGGCAATGGTTAACAAAATAGGTTATTTTACATATGTTACATTGTAAGTGGGAATGGGAATTTTACTCACCATTATCGGTTATATTTTCCTCTGCTGTTGGTCCACTTGCTGTTGAGCCTTCTGTGTTTTGAACTAGTTCCTCCTTCTCATTCTGGAAGAAATAAATGCCTCTCTGAGATCAGCCAAGGTTGGCTGAATGTTGCTCCCTGCTTTGACTAGACATTCCCTCAAATTGATCTTGACTCTTTATAGAATGAGTACCAATGAAAGAAACATGTATTGCTTTCTTGATTTACTCATAGTTTCCACCTTTCTTCCTATCCTTTTTCACATATATCTATTTCCAATAAAATTTTCTGCACTATCTTCTCTAGATTTCACAAATGGGTTTCCCTCAACCCCAGTGTGTTCATCAGGGACCTGTTAATGTTACCAAAATGAAATCTTTGAATTTAGGGACTATACCAGACTCTTGGTGGGGGACTCTGAGGTGCTGCTGAAGCTGGAGCGATTCATGTAGGCCAGTGAAGTGCCGTAGCGCAAAGTCTCATAAACGGGATCTACCTTTCCACTGGGGCCTGCTGGTAAACCAGATACATTTTAGAATTGGATTGTCATGTACAAAGGAGAAGCAAAGGAAGCTGTCATAAACAGGGTCACTTTATTCTATTATTCTGTACTTTGCGAAGCATAGTCCTGGATAATTTGTAAAATTCCTTGTGCAATGAGTGAAATCTGTTCTCATCAGCCAGATAAACCCACCATGCTTTCTAGTTACAATCTGGAAGGACAGATCTGAGTTGCAATCAGTTAAGTTCTTCTACTTGGTTCCCTGACAAAGAATCTATTTGCTAAATTGGATCTGGGAGGCCTTTGAATTCCAAAATGAACCTCCCCCCACCCCCAACCTTCCATGCAATTGTCCTGCCTCAATCATGGCATTTTATTTGATGATCCCAGCACCATAATAATCTTCCATGTATAACTCTCCTGCATTTTCTCGCTGCTTCTTCTGTATTCTTTCTTACCCCTAAATATCCATTGAGGAGGCAGCAGAGGCAATTTAGAGGTTGGGTGTCAGAAGATGAGAACTATGAAACCCCACCCCTTTTTTTACATGCACTGCACATGCATGTCTGCCATCTTGAACCCTTGAACCCTTGGAAAGCCCTGGCTGGCAGTTCTTGGAGTCAGGAGCCTGGGAGCACCTCACCATCCATTTTCCGTGATTCAGTTTCTGCCAGAAAGTTTACTGCCTTTAGAAATGGCCAAATTTTTACCTGCAGGAGGCGATTCCTTGGCTGGGGCTGGTTGGGGCTGTGGTTCATGTAGCAGCAGAGGAGAACTAAGATTACGACGGAAAGAGGTTGCCTGCTGGGGAACGAAGTACAGAAGAATATTTCACTGGCTGCAATAGAGTACTATGTGGCTTGACCCTCTGCCATACTGCTGAGAGGGTGAATTAATATAGGAACCATCTTTGCTTCACTCTTGAAACGTTACAAAGAACTAGTTTATACTCTATTTCCTCTTTATATACTTAACCTTCAGAGAAATTTTAAGCTAAGTAAAACAGGAGAGGAAATAGTCTAGAACAGGGGTCTGCAACCTTAAACACTCAAATAGCCATTTGGACCCATTTCCCACAGAAAAGAAAACACCGGGAGCCACAAAATTCTTCCCGTGCCTGACTATTTCTTGAGCAGCCACAAAACTAGCATATGTAGTTGAATTAAATGTTCTGTTTTCTTCTAAAACTTTTTTCTTTTCTTGGATTTATCCATGGTTGGCCTACCGGGGGTTGAAAAGCTCAATAAATCACATGCTGGCGGCTGTCGCACATTGGCAGTTGTGATGCAAATTTTGAGTGACAGGGAGCCACAGCAGAAGGGTGAAAGAGCCACATAAGACTACAGAGCCGCAGGTTGCTGACCTCTGGTCTAGAACTCTGCACATCAGCTTCTAAAAATGGTTATCCTTAGATTCATTCTTTGCATCTAGAAATCTGGTATAGCAGATTGAGTTTGATCTCAAACCAAGAAAATTCCTCGCTCATCTACTAACATTGACCTTACAGAGCTGTTGGGAACCCACATTTACTGTTCTGAGATCCCTGAAGGGGATATGAAAATATAATCTAATAAGACAAAAGTTGTGAAATCTGAAATGTACAGAGAAGCAAAATGAGCTTACAGAAATTGGCTCTAAGCGGTACAACACTTTCTGTATCATAATTGTCAATTGGTAAGCCACAGAAAGCACATGTAATTCATATAGATAAACCCAGGAAATCAAATATAATTAATTATAACACAAGATATATGTATTATAATACTGCAGTTTATTCATTTTGCCTTTTGCACAACAAAATAAATAATGCAAGTTTAACATGTCAATAATGTTCACAAATTAGAACAAATTATATTGTAAAGCTGCTTTCCATTCTTTCTTTCTTAAACATATTCTCAGAATGCATATCACCTCTCCTTTTCTTGGTTTATTGTTTCACTTGGAGGAAGAACTGCAATACAAGCAACTATTTACATGCAGTGAAGCACAACTAATTTAAGCATGATTTCATAAACTACAATTTGTTAAGGATAAATATAAAAGAACAGAAACAGAGGAAGGTGACTGATAAATACCTTAAAATGTTTATTAGTGGCCAAGTGCTTTTTAGAATGTCCTTGAGTGAAAAAAATTACAAGTGTCTAGGAATAAAATATGTTAATCTATTTTCAGTTGGAAGACATTGTAAGACAAATCAAGTGATTTATCCAGTTTAAGCAGAAAGACATATCAGATAACAAAGAACTGAGATAATTGATTTCGAGAGACTTTATTTTGAGGAACATATTTTTTTAAACATGAGTGGGCTGTTTTCCTTGCATAAGCTATAAAATAGTACTTCTGAACAGCTGGAACTAGCAGTAAGTATAGAGAAAAATAAGGGTTGCGAGAAATATATTTTTGGCATGTTGCTTTATGTCTACTTTATGTTCATTGATTTATTTTTTTATACAATTTGTTGGGCAATTTTTAAAATCAAACCTGATCACATATGGTAATTTTGATCTTATATAATAGGAATTTTCTTGAATTGCCCAAAATTTATCTTAATTCAGCAATTTTAGAGGCCTTCCTTTGCCAACTAATTTTTAACAATTAAAAAAAATTAATTCAAAAATTTTAATTCTAACATTTCATTTTTTACAGTATATACTGCTTTTATATTTTGATGTTTTATTGTATATTGCTAAGGGTACCTCTCTGAGGAAGTCGGGTACCAGTAGTTCAGAAATGTGAAAAATAAATTAAAAAATTGTTTTTCACAATGGCCATCCAGATGTCTCAGAGTATTTTTAAGTGGCAGAAGGAAATATATCCTCCCCTGCCCTTGTTCCCATAACCTCTTTGGAGGCATACTGTCCCCAAACTAGAGGCAACATTAATTCTGAAGATAACCAACCTTGCTTTGAAGCCATTCATATTAGTAGCCATCACCATGCCATGAGGTAATGAATACCAGATATTATGTGCTATGTGAAAACAGGCTTTCATTTGCCTATTTTAAATTTCTTCTTAAGATTGCTTCATTGGATGGCCTTTTCTCCTAGTGTTTTGAGAAAGGGAAAATATATTGTCTATTTTCTCCATGTCATGCTTAGTTTTATACACCTCAGTAATATCCTTACCAGTCATTTTTTTCTAAGCTAAGTGTCTTACATTTTCCAGCCTTTCTTTGTAAGGAAAATGTTAAAGACAACTGATTATCTTGATCTGCCTTGCCCTGCACTTCTTCCAGGTCCAACCATAATTGTATAGAACATACAAGATATAGATATTCCAGACATTATAATGCTGGCTGTTTTATTTTCAATTCCCTATGTTCTCACTTCTATCATAGAATATGCCTTTTGCAAAGCTGCTATGGCAGATATCTATTCAGAAAAATCTGAAGACCTTTTATCTGATAAGAAATTCATATCAATGAATATCTGAAATTTGGGGAGAGTTCTGTCTTGCCTTAATGTACATCACTTTACACTTACTTAAACTGAATATCTGTCATTTGAATGACCATTCACCCAGTTTTGAGAGATCCTTTTGGATATTTTCACAACAGAGCTTATTTGGTTTTTAAAACAACAACACGAAAATGTTTGGTTTGCAAAAGAAAGTCAGTGTAAAGCAATCCAGTTCCTAGTGCTCTTGATACAGGACTTCATCCAAAATGCACAAACTTTGTAGGCAGAATCTACCCTCCTGTTTCTTTTTTCCTCATATCATTGCCAATCCTTCTCTTGCAGAATGTGCGTACTACAGTCTATGGAACTGGTAATTTATTTATTTATTCATTTTATTTATTTATTTGTATCCTGCCTTTATTATTTTTAGTCAAATAACTCAAGGCGGTAAACATATCCAACCCTCCTTGTATTTTCCCCGCCTCACAATCCTGTGAGGTGGGTTGGGCTGAGAGTGACTGGCCCAAAGTCACCCAATTAATTTTCACTTAATGACCCTAATTGGGAACAGCAATTTCATCGTTAAGTGATATAGTCACCAAGTGAAATATCACATAACAGCTTAGCAATGGCAATTCCAGCAATGCCAGCTGCTCTCACTGCATGAATCCCACACAGTTGCTTGCAGGAGCTCACCAGGATCCAAGCATTCTTGGAAAAGGTAAGGACTATCTCCGCTTCAACTTCCTCTATCCGCCTATCTCCCCCCATCTCTGCCCATTTACTTGTCCGTTTATCTGCTGCCCACTGCCCAGCCTTTTCTATTGCTACACTGCATGCCACTAGTATACTAGTTGGGGCCTTCTTTTGTGCCAACTGTTTTCACACTGGTGCAATCAGGGCTTCTCTTGCACTCCTGTTTTGAGTCCCAACCAGGGGTTCCATATCAGCACTGGTCAGAAACTGTTTTTTCCGAAACAAGGCCAATGAAAGAAAGCCTTGAAATATGGACCTTGCTAGCCAGGGCCTTCTTTTGTGCCAGCACAGATAGGACCCCAGACTGGGTGGGGTCTCCTTTTGTAAAAGAAGGCCCTGGCTGACCTGAGAACAGAGGCCTTGACAAGGATATGAATGGAGAGCCTGGCTGGCATGCAAATCGAGGCCCTGGCTACAGCAGCTTGAAAGAAAGCAACATGAAACAAGTCCTGCCCAATACAGCAGTGGTACATAGTGTGGCAATACTGGAGTGTTGATGATGGTGGATGGCCAATAAGATGGTCATAAATGCAGATGGGCCCCAATGGGACCAAATTCTGTTCACATGACTGCAAAGGCACTGCAATGGCTGGAACATCTAGGACTGCAGGTAAACTCCTTCATTCAGCACCACTGTAGTGTCTAACAGTTGTTCAATAATTGGATGTTAAGTGAGGCCTATTTGTATTACATCAACCCTGTGCAAACTATAGGATAGAGCCCATCCTCTCCCTCTCTGGATCTTTCTATCTTAACCCATGCATAGCTTTGCTTAGCTACTTACTGTCTTGCCCAGACACTGCTGATGAGAAACTTCTTCTGAACACCACAGATGCACGCTTGCTTTGCATGTCTTGCATCGTAGGCCTTGCTTGGAGTTTCCTAAAAGTAAAGCCAAGACACAAGGGAGCTAAAAGGTGTTTTGCTAAGATAATAGATGTGTGTTGGTGGAAACAATATTGAGGGGCAGAGCAAGAGAGAATAAAAATCAGAAATACGTGCCTGATAGCAAGGAACAGGCTGTGTACTCATCTCAAATGAGGCAAATAATGATTCCCATCCTCCCTATTCAACCTATCTGCAGGGTGGCTTATTACCATCCAACCATCTTATTATTTTTTTTCCCAATCCTTATTTCCAGGGTTACTTTTCCCTTTGCACTTACAGGCAGCCCTCAACTTACAACTGGTCATTTTAGCCCCCCCCCCCCCCCCCCCCCCCCTCTCCTCTGTTCTCTTTTCCTCCCCCACCGCACCCCCCTTGTGATTGTTCATTTTACATCAGACACAGGGATGCTGTAGTGCCCTCCCACTTCTCTTCGCATTCCCCCCACTGAGCCCCATACCCTTCTCCTCCTCACCCCGCGTCACTCATCACACCTTTCAAAGAGCTCCAGAGCTTGGGTTAAGGATGTGTGTGATGGACATTGTGGGGTGATGTGGGACAAGGAGAAGGATATGAGGCCTGGTGGAGTGGGAAGTAGACCCAAGCCTTATAGGGACCCTGAGGGGGATAGGGAGAGGCTGAAGTGCCTCAGGGAGTGGGTGATGCCTTGAGAGATCGGGGGCCTTCTCTGGCAACTCTGAGGCACCCTATGTCCACTCAACAACCCACATATTCATTTAATGACTGCATTAGGAAGAAGAGATATGTGGGGTGTCATACATGAGACGAACACATGGGTGCTTCAATTAACAGCCATCACAACTTCCAACCCAAACAAACAATGCTGGCCAGCTAAAGAAACCAAACTACACAGGCTTCCACCCACCTCCAATTGCTTCTTGCTAGCCTGCTTAAAAAAATTAAAAAGAAATATCAGGCCTGTGTGCATCTCCTTGCTCCTTCATGGGCTGTACTCCAGCTGTTCTATTTTTTTCTCTGCAGGCTCCACTCAAGCAGATGAGATACATCAACAGCCAACTTCCGCCAATGCATATATTTCCAAGCTTCATCTAGAATCAATGCCTAAACCTTATTAAGTGTAAACCTATTTGAGGAAAGGGAGGAGGACCATCCTGATCTGGAAGTAGCTCAGGATTTAGAGTGTAAGAAATCCAGACATGGACAGAAAAAGAATGACCATAATTCAGCTCCTGAATGTGCATGGCAAGAACTAGCAAACATTATCAAGAAGGTGGGGAACAAGGCCTTCAAATTGCTTACCTACAATAAGCTGATGGCAAATTTCACAAGGATTGTGTTTCTTGAAGATGTGTTCTTGGAAGCTGTGAGTCTTCATGGGCTTGAGGGTTCCCAGGGACTTGTGAAGGGCTCTGGGGGAGGCTTCTACTTCAGAGGGAGCTGGGGGTGGAGAGGGGGGTGGCATGGAATCAGGAGGGCTGAGCAGGACATCGGAGGGCAGCTTGAACTCATTACCAGAGCGCAGAAAAAAGTTCTCCACACTCTTGCTGCGCAGGATGGTCTTGAGTGACAGAGAGCGTTTGAACCTTTGTAACTAGCAGACAAGGGGAAAGAAAAAGGGAAGAAATAACAGCAGTCACTGGGGAGGAGGGCATATTATATTAGCACCACGAACTTTGCTCAGTATCCACTGAAAGTGATGAAGTATTCAATACACTTAATGGATTTTGTGCTTTCAAATAGCAATAGCACTTAAGACTTGTGTATTGCTCCATAGTGCTTTATAGCACTCTCTGAGTGGTTTACAACATTGGCATATTGGCCCCAACAATTTGGATCCTCATTTTACCGATCTCGAAAGGATGGAGGATTGAGTCAGTCAGGATCAAACTCCTGGCTATGACCAGAGTTAGTCTGCAATACAGCATTCTAACCACTGCACTACCATGGCTCTGGTGTTGACTCCTAGCGACTGCTTGGATTAGTCTGTAAGTTTTCTTGGCAGGTTTTTGGGAAATGCTTTGCCCTTGGCTTCTTCCTAAGACTGAGAGAAAATGATGGATGAGATCATCCAGTTGGCTTTGTGATTAACATGGGACTAGAACCACAATCTCCTGGTTCCTAGCTGGTGCCTTAACTACTACATCAAACTGAGCTCTTGTACTTCATGAACTTCATTTTTGTTTCTCCCTTCAATCATCACATTTCTGCTGCAGAATTCCCAAAAGACACTGAAGGCAAAGCTTTGGGGGAATAGTCAAAACAGAAACTTAACCCATTTCTCCTTCTCCCCATTCCTGATGGTGTTACCTAGACTGGTAATGAAACATCTGCAAGGAAACAACCAAGCTCAGAGAGTATCAAGGACCTCACAGAAGAGAAACGCTTCAGTCTCATTCCACATTTACCAGAGAAGCCTTAAATAAATAATCTAGAGGAGAACACATGGGAGTCATGAAAAGGTTTCTATTTTAAAAAGCAAGCAAAAACTACTTTAATCTGATTTGGAAGAGAGGCTGCTTTGGTGGTGGGGAGGGAGAGAGGAAAAAAGGGCAAAGAAGAGATTGTTTAAGGCTGCAGGCCATTTATGTGCTAGAAAAACCATCCTCTCTTTACTGTTTTTCTTTCCTGCTGGGGTAAAGAGGGCTGTCAACAGTGGAACAAGTTAGTTAACATATTGTTAGGAAAATTTTCCACTGACCTGCTGTTGTGAGAATAGGACCTTGAACATACAGAGCAGAGGCCATGACTAACTGCACTCATGGTACGGCATCTAGGCCTGGAGGAAAAACTCTGCTCAATGTAACAGCAACCCATTGGCTAACATGTGGGCCTAGGGGACTACTACGGATGCTCCAATCTCTAGGCGTGTCTGGAGAGGAGTGAGCTTACGGCTGGCTAGCCCGCAACCCCATTTACCTGCTCTTTTCATTATCTCTTTCTGCGAGTGAGAGCTGAATCCATTTTGCTCTACTTGCAACTATACTTGCACCAAGTATGGCCAACATAAGAGAATGAGTATGCTTCAGGAATAATTTATCTCATGTCTCAGTATATCTTAGCAATTTTAGTAGTTGAATACACCAACTACTTTATTTTATAGTAATTTAGCAATCTGGCCTCTTGCTTTTCAGTTCCACCTATGCATATTGTAATCTGGCTCACAATAATTTTTCTGTGAAATTTGTTTACTAACACCTTTTCCACTCTCCTTATATAATGCCAGTTTTGCTATGCCACACAATTCCAGCCAGTTACTGCAGTAAAAGGACTGATATTAGTGGAGGCTATAACAAGCACCAGCAATGCGGCATAATCCTTCCATCATCCCCAACCATCATGGGTAAGTATTGAGTCTGTAATTAGGGAAAAGCCCTGACTAAAATTATAATCTGGGAGAAACTAATCTTGAAACAATTTTTAAAATGCCAAATCATTTAAACTGCTAAGAATTAGAAGTGCTCAAGGATACCATCTGAAACCCAAGATAAATATAGCTAACAGCACACATTATTGAGACTCAGGAGGTTGTGATAAAGTGAAACAAATGAATGAAGACAGAGCAAAATGCTGGAAGTAATAACTTTGTAATTGGATGGGTGGATGCAGAACAGAGGAATAAGGGTGGAAAGATGAAGAAAGGGAAAATGAGGTATTGGGATCACTGGATGAGATTCAGAGCATTTTAGAAGACAAAGTGCAAGGACATATGAAATGGGACTTTCTGGTGGGAGGGAAAGGTCGCTTCAGAGAGTGGAAAGCAATGTTTGGAAAAAGGAATATAAAAGACATGGAAGTGAGGGGCACAAATGATACAGCTGGAGACCTACAGGTACAGGGATTCTTCTAGATACAAACAAGGCTTGAGCCGACAACAGAGCAAGGCTGGAAGAAATGGCTAAGAAATAAAAAAAGGAACTGGCTAGATCCATGAAGCAACCTGAAAAAAGAAGGAATTAGTTTTTTACAATGATGAGATAAATCAGTTTTCCTGAGATAAGTGCCCATTGTTTCTGCTCATCTGGTTGTGCTTCAGGTCTGCTCTAGTAAACATTATGTTACAGGACTAAGGAAGTTGGCCTTTCTGTCACAGTGCCACCCTTCCCCCTGAAAAATGCCCTTTCCCTTGGGTTCCAGGAAGCTTTTAAAACCTGGCTTTGGTTTAGTCCTAGGGCTGGGGTCAATGCTTTACTGAATGGGTGGAGGGCGGGGGAGAGAGTGCTACGTTTTCATCTGTGTTGCCTTTAAGATTATTTTAGTATTTAGTATTGTGCAGTTTTATATTTTATTTTTATGAACTTTCTGATCCTTTTTGCCATCCAGTTTCTATTGGAGTTGGTGGAGATAGATAGATAGATAGATAGGATAGACAGACAGACAGACAGACAGAGATAGGTAGGTAGGTAGGTAGGTAGGTCGATCACTCCCCTTTGTTATTATCTTTGCTTGTACCTTCAGTTCCGGGGAAGCAGAATGGGGGGCAAAGCCCTACCGTGTCCCTTAATACAAATCAACCCAAATGCCAGTGGGGGAATGGACTGAAACCAAGAGCAGAAGTGCCCAAAGTGGTAGTTTAGAAAGCAGATCATGGTGGGAAAAGCAATGGACAGTCCACCTGAATTTGAATTGAGGCCAGTAATGTGTATGTGCAAGAAGAATTAAGAAGATGGGAGACGAATCAGCTGTTTGTAAAACCTTGGCAAAATACCTAGGATTGTTGAATAAATTTGGATTTAACTTGTCCTAGATTTCAAAGATGAACTATATTCTCTAAGCAAGTTTCTCAGGACTACAGGAAGATGGGGATGGGGGGGGAACTATTTACACTGATTTAAGTATTTGCTGATGTATCACATTATTCTTGTATCAGTGTAAACTTGATAGTTGTCTGTATGGTCATCCAGTGCAAGGACTATACTATAATAGAATTCCTCTCAATCTTTGGTTCTGAAAACAAGGAAGGAAAGGTGTTATGTTGGCTGGTAACTAGAAGAGTTTTGTTTTTTACTGGAAAAGGAGACAAGATCCATTTTGCAGTTCTCCCTGTGAACAGAAACACTGACAATAAGATCAATGAGAATAAAATTTGGAAGAGATTTTTGCTTAAGAAATATGTAGGAGATTTCAGGTCTTGAAATAAGGACCAGCAAAAACTGTAGAGTTACATTATTAACAAATACTTAGAAACAAATCATTTTTATTAGAGATGACTTCAAGGAGAAAAGGGCATTTATGACACTATGAAAAATCTACAGAGCTGGGACTCAAATCAAGCCTATTACAAGGATACTGCAAATGACTGGTTATTTATTTAATTGCATTTCTTGTCAATGGGGGAAAATCCTTGTCAGATTTTCTGCATCAATTTTCAAATGACTGCCCACCTTCTGATATTTGCACTTTAAACTGGAGGACAGGGTAGGTTGCCCTCAACTGCTCCCCCTGATATACCCTGTTTTCCCCCAAAATAAGACATCCCCTGATAACAAGCCCAATCGAGCTTTTGAGCACATGACAATAAGGCCAAGCGCTTATTTCAGGTTTCAAAAAAATACAAGACAGGGTCTTATTTTCGGGGGAACACGGTAATACATTGTGCAGAACCAGTTCCAGCATTATTTTCTTAAAATTTCTAAAATACATAGATGTTTTTATACATTTTTATTGTTGCATACTGGGTGTTTTTAGATGCTTTGGATGTACCTGAGTCTCACAAAGGCAAGGCTGACAGGTATAGTATTGAGCACCAAATTTGACTTAATCTCCATCGAATTTATGGAGAAATCCATCCATGTAGCTTTCTTGGCAATAGAATAGAAATAGTTTTTCATCCTCTTTTGGGATTTTTGTTAAACTTCTCAGTCTAACTTACTTCCTAGCAGCTTTTGATCCATACTGTAACTAGATCCAAACTTGCTCAGCTTCTAGAAATCTGCCAAGAACAGCTAGGCATATTTGGGCACACTGACTACAGCTGGCTGGGTTAAAATTTTCACTCAACCATGAAGCTTACTGTGTGAGTGTTGGCTGGTCCCTACTTGTTAGCCTCAGGTTTTATCACCCATCCCAATTTGGAAAAACTAGTCTATCTGACAGAGATGGAGCAGAAAAAGCTTGGAGCAAAGTTAAATGAAGAGAAAATAAAAGATGTTAGAAGATGTAGGATCAGCAACTGCTCTAGTCTTAGTTGTTTCCATCATATCTGCTTGTTCTTACATTACAGACAGTAAGTTAGATTCTGCAACCAGTACCAGATTTTGCCTTGTTATCCTCTTTCCTGCCCTTTCCGTTGTCCTTTTCTTTGTCCCGTTGCGCTCAAATCATTATTCATTTTAAAATTGCCAATATTTGGGTTCCTGCCTGAGACTAAGCCCTATAGTTTAGAAATCACAGGGGCAGGCATCATCAATGCAGTAATGCTTACTGGCTGAGAAATTCTGAGAGTTAGAAGTCCACACCTCTTAAAGTTGCTAAGGTTGAGAAATACTGGGACAGGGTAATGCATTATTCTGGTCTGTATATACTGTTTCCTAATTCTGGGACACCCGTGAAGAGACAATATTCAAGAAAAGCTTATAGAACTGCCATTTACCA